TCAAGACTGGCACAGGCGTTCTTAGTCCGTCTTAGTTCCCGGACTTCTCTCAGTGTAGAAAAATTTATTTCGTTTTTCCGCAGACTAGTGTCAACTAGGAAATAAAAATCTATTCACTTGTTTTGAATCGGTCGGGAGTAGTACTGAATCGGAAAAAAATCCACTCTTTAGAAATCGTAAAATGTACATTTATTATAAAATAGATCATTCAGTTTAAAAAAGTTAGCCATTGGAATTAATTTCATCAATACCAGATCATCAATATATAAAAATGTTAACAAAGTTGATCGTCAGTGTAGGATTAATAATCCTAAACATTATGGAAACCGGATGCGGAAATACGAAATGGATAGAAAGTTTTGTCAAGAATGTTAAATCCGATCTAAACATTAATCAGGTAATTTTTTTAATTGACAATAAAGAAATCACATCTGATCCAATAATTAACGAATTAATTTTGAAACTAACAAACAACATTCCAGTTCGAGGGATAAATTTTGAAAAATCTGCTAGGAAAAAGCCTACAAAATTGGATTTCAAGATTTACAATCCTAGGATTTCGCTATTCATTATCACGAATCCTGAAATTGATTTCCAATTTGATTTTCTAAATCAACTATCCGAAGCGAAACGTCGACCAAAATGCTTGGTTCTTCATTCCAAGGAACTAACAAGTTATAGAGAGTTTTTCAAAATCCTCTGGGCTAAACAGTTCCTGGATGTTACTATTTTAACCATCAATTCAATGGGTTCAAAAATTGGTTCCAAAAATCTCAAACAAACGGTCATTCGTTACAATCCTTTCTCGGGAATAATATCCAAAGAATTCGCATCTTCTAAAACTATTTGGTTTCCTGACAAAACTCAAAATCTATACGGCTATCCATTGGTCGTAAGCTTAATAAAATATCCACCGGATATATTTGAACTAAAAGGTCCACATGGAGAAATATCCTATTATGGATTAGGAATTAAGAAACTGAAAACTTTGGAAGAAATAATGAATTTCTCACTTGTGAAATCATCTGTATCGAATTGGGGAAATGTATCTTGTTCAATGACAGAAAGCTCAGGAACTTTTCTGGCACTATTTAGGAACAAAATTCAATTCATAGGAGCCGAAACAACTATCGGATTTTGCGATGGAAAAAATATTGAATTTAGTAAAGGTTTAAAAAAGCAACAATATGGTATGGTTGTCCCTGTTGTAAAAAAAGATGAGGGGATTGTAGAAATTCATAGGCAAGTGACAAAAGCATTGATGGTGATACTTTTGCCCCTCTTCGTTTGGATTGTTTCAAGAATTTTGGGCTTTCAATCAGAAAAATGGAAAATCGATTATCTTTTACGAGTAGTATTTGGATCCACGGTTCCACAAGAGCCAACAAGAACAGCAGAAAGAATAATCTTTGCTGTGTTTTTGTTCGGTTGCTTCACGTTCTCCTCGGAAATTGTTTCATTTATGACAGACGTTCAATTGAAAACAACATCCTCTTTTAGATATGAAAATTTAGAAGACGTTCTTAATTCTGACTTAAACGTTAAATGTCATCGTTTCACTTTTCACCAGCATAAGGATATTGATGATGTTGTTTTACAAAAAATTCTGCAAAAATCTGTGGACTTTTATACAGATGTTGAATGCGTTGAACAAATGTTGAAATATAAAAATGTGGCGTGCATTGTAGATATTGGCGCTGTGGAATCGATTCTACAAAACAAAAGAGATAAATGCGGACAACCAGTTACAAAATACATTCTGAAGGAATTTTTATCGTCTTCATCAGGTATGTTACTTGGAGCAGGTACTCCTTACAAGAAACGCTTTGATCAAATAATTCAGAGATTAATTGATTTTGGTATTCCAATAAAGTGGATGAAATCTTATACAGCACACAATGTTGCTTTTACTCAAATTGGTGAATCTTGCGATTCTGAAGCACCTAAATTTAACTTAGTGATATATCAAATACTACTTTTTCCTATCATCGGATACATTTGCTCCGTTTTTGCTTTTATTGTTGAATTAATACTACATTGGAGCTTGAACAAAAATTAAGATAAATAATCGAACGAAAGATGGGCTTAGGGTTTTCATTTTAAAAACGTATATACCAAAGACAGTGGAAATCATCCATTCTTTCAATTTTAATAAACGATGGCTTCAAAATTGTACATACCAGGTAAATGTCAAGGCCGATAAATAATTTCAAATCAATATAATTCAAAATGTTCACTCGATATTATTACTTTGAAGAATTTTCTGTATATACTTACTCAATTATTTTTTTTCTTTTAACTTTGTGCTGGGGAGTTCTAATTTTCTAAAAAAAAAAAAAAAAAAATTTGTAGGGTCAACCGGGGTAAATCCGAACGCTTTTAGTAAGTTTAAACAATAACATAAGTTTTTTCTTTAAAAAAAAAATACTTCCGGTATTCTGGTGCATGAAGTTGTTACTTTACTTGCATAGAACAATTTTATGGGGTAGAAAAAATTTTTGATAAATTACAATCGCAGGAAACTTAGCGTTCGTATTTACCTCGATACTTTGCAACTTTCCTAAAATATGGGGGTAAATACGAACGCCACTGTATTTCAGAAAAATCTTAGGGAAAATAAATTTAAAGTATTGCAATTGTTAAACTTATATAAAAACTCAAAAAAAATACGATAATAAACCTATTATGTAATAATGCATCATATATAAATACAAAAATCAAACAGGTTAAAAATTAAAATGCATTACACAATTAAAACCTTCAATAACTTTATCAAATCATAACGGATTTTTGCAAAACTTGGTACAGAAAGTATTTTGGAGTGATTGAATGTAAATACAAAAATAAAAGGGAAATTTTTTAAATTCAAAATGGCGAACTTTCCTAAAACTTATTTTTAAAAATGACCAAATTTGCTAACCCTGAAACCCCCCGAGTAACAATTTTCGAGCGAATCCAATGAATTTTTTAATTCTCGTCCGCCATTTTGAATTTTGAAAAACTGACTTCAAATTGGGTATTAGCGACCCCAAAAACCATAGAATACCAAATTTTATTAAGATCCTGAAAAACTTTTTTCAACAAACCATTTGGCAAAAAAATTGAAACACTCCTTCGAGAGAACAGAGATTAAGTTTCTGCTCATTAATTACTAACGAGGATACGTATAGAAAGAAAAACTTTTTTCTATGTACTTTTATAATGTTAAAATAATAGTGTAATGAAATAAAAACAATTTTGTGTGGCTCTGATGTAAAAAAAATTTATTAAAAATACCGTTCGGATTTACCCCAGTTTTCCAATTTTCTTGGGTAAATACGAACGGTCTGATATTATTAATAAAATTTTACAGAAGGCAAAAATCAAATATAGTTTCTGTTCTAGTATTCATAACAAACAATTATAAATAATAAAATGAATTTTTAGCTTCTTTTTCTTCAAATACGAGACAAAATACTGAAAGAGTGTCATCTTTGATTTTCAATCTTTTTTGCAATACTTGTTATCTTTGTTTATGCTGTTGCTAATTAACAAACAAAAAATGGGATAACAAGAGGATCTGAGGTAAAAATTCTCATATCGAACTTATTTTTAAAAATTTTAATTAAGCTGAAATAATTAGCGTTCGGATTTACCCCCCGTTCGGATTTACCCCGACTGACCCTACCTTGTATGTGATTTTCAATAAATTTCCGAACTACGAACAAAAAATATCATTATCTTGCTGTCAGAAATATATTGTTGTCGACATAGCATTTTTTTTGTCACTCTATTTCCGAATGCTAAAGCAAAATGTTGAATGTTTTAAATAAAAATTTTAAAAAAGCCGTGCGAAAATGATAAATTTAATACTGACGTCTTCGATGTTAACAAAATTGCTGTTCAGTGTAGGATTAATAATTCTCAACTATGTAAAAACTGGAAATGGAAATACTAAATGGATAAACGGTTTTGTTAGAACTATGAAATCCGATCTGAACATTAACCAGGTAATTTTTTTAATTGACAACAAAGAAGTAACATCTGATCCAACAATTAACGAATTAATTTTGAAACTAACAAACAACATTCCAGTTCGAGGGATAAATTTTGAAAAATCTGCTAGGAAAAAGCCTACAAAATTGGATTTCAGGATTTACAATCCTAGGATTTCGCTATTCATTCTCACGAATCCTGAAATTGATTTCCAATTTGATTTTCTATATCAACTATCCGAAGTGAAACGTAGACCGAAATGCTTCGTTCTTCTTTCCAAGGAACTAACAAGTTACGGAGAGTTTTTCAAAATCATCTGGGATAAACAGTTCCTGCACGTTACTATCGTAATCATCAATTCAATGGGTTCAAAAATTAGTCATCTTTGTTTCATTTTCGTTTAAAAATGCCACTTTTTAAACTCCATTTTTTAATAATTTAACTCAAAATTATGTATTTTTCGGAGAACAGCAAGATTCTTTGTAGGTACCCTAATCTATCATCCCTCAAAATTTTAGACAAAAATCTTTTCTTATTTTAGAGTGAAATGTATACTACCAAAACACATTTTCCCATACTAGGTCACGTGGGAGGTTCCTACATACTCTTAAGGTAACTAAATAATTTATAAATCATGTTTAAAAAACAGTGTATGGTTACATATATATAAGAATAAAATCTTTTTACTTTTATTATAATGTTAACAGTACAGATAAATAACCAAGTGAAGTCTTTAGAATCTGAAATAAGTTTAAGCTACGTTATTTGATAAATAATTAAAATAAATCTAATGATATATATAAATTTCTACCTTTTTTTAATATAAATTGTAAAATAATTATCTTATTTTAAAAAGTGAATTTTAAGTTTCAATCATATTCTAAAACAAAAATTATCTGATAAATTCAGGATGAGCTATGAGCTGAATAATACAAACAACTATATTTTCAAAAGTAAAAATTTATTTTATTAAGTATATGATATTAAAGAAATGTGATTTGTGGAAAAAAAAACATACAAACCTTGTTAAAAGTTTCTAAAGAAATAGAAAAAAATTTTCCTGCAGTTAAGAAACATGGTTTCTGGGCTCTCTGCATTAAAAATAATAAATTTTTTCCATCCGACGATTGCAAATAATACCATTTACAGCTATAAACTGCATATGCCATTTCGGAACTCTATTATTTATAAAAAATAATTACTTTAAAAAAAAAATGAATTTTATTAATTATTTAATTTGCAAATACTTTAATTTTTGTATATCAAATTTTTTAGATAATTTTTTCATAAGAATCATATGAAATGCTAATTTAATTTTATTTAAATATTTTACCCATATATCATAATTAAAGGATGCCTATATATATTTACATGATGTTTTAGTTGTTCGCCAACAGAACAATAAACATAAAATACTGCCAACATGTAAGCAATATATATGATCATAACTGCTAATGGAATTAGAGGAAATTCTGCTTTACTTTTCCCAATTATCTATTAAATAATTAAAAAATATTAAAAGTGTGTGACATTATTTTAAGTAAATATAAACCATTTTTTTAACATCAATCCGAAACTTTAGTCACGACAGGAAAAGAAGAGAAATAATTTTTAAGAGAAAAAATATCTTACAATTGTTAAAAAATAGTATTTTTTCTAACAGTTACATGAAAAAAATAAAACAAAAAAAATTAATACGTACGAGACTAAGTTGAAATGCTTGCAGGCAAAATTCAATAGTGCTAATAAGAATTTCAACTAAAAGTAACATATTAAATGTGTCCTCAATTATAACGACAAATCTACAATATTGCAAATAATATGAAAAATTGATGTAATTCAAAATGTTATAAAAAAAATAATATATTTAAAACTATTTATATTGGTTTACTAAGAAAATATTTTATAACTAAAAATAATACCTTGGAGTTATAATGTCACAATTATTTGTCATCATAAATATATCCTCATACCTGTTCAATTGCTGATGTCTTTTAACAATTATTGCAAATTCATCTTGAAATTGTTTCTTACAATTTCCACTGACAATTTCGTCAACAACATTAATCAAACGATATTTTAATACGGCAAATTGTCCACATAAGTGAATTATTAAAATTCCAAAAAATCCGTGAACCCCAGCATAAGTAACAGTTGCAAGAAAAGTTGTTAAACATTGCGTAAACCATGTTATTTCAAAAATTGGTGTAAAATTTGTTTCATAAGGAAAATGAGAAAGAATATATAAGCGACGAGTATAATTATCATTAAAAATATTGGATTTATCAATAATATTATAATAAATTTCACCGGCCGTATGAAAATTAAATGTACCCTGCGACAATAGTAGACAAATTAAAGATATTTTTCTCGCTGAATATGACATTTTTAACATTATCATTCTTTCTTCTTTTGACTTGGAATTATTCCAATCTTCATTTATTGATGCCACAATAGGCTGTAATTCTTCAATGATTAAAAAAAAAATAATAATAAATCTTTTTAAAAACTACTAAGAAAGTGAAAATAAATTTTTCATTTACAAAGAATTAAAAATTCTCTTACCTGATTTATTTTTCTGGATGACATAAATCATGAGAAGAATAATTATAGATGGAAGCTCAACTTTACAAAGGATTTCAGACATTATTTCAATGTCTCCCCAAATCATAATTAATTTCATTGTTTGCGATAAAATTATAAAAAAAGTTATACATATAAAAATAATAACAACACGGCAAAATGTTAAAAATCCTTCTGATTTTTCGTCGGGCCATATTCCAATAATTTTCAAACTAATCTTACAAATACTCGTGCAATGATTCGCAGCTTGTTTATATTCAAATTAAATTAATTATTATACAATAAATTATAATGAAGAAAATTTATTAAATAAATTATTGATTGATTGTAACCAATTTTCGCAAAAAAAAAAAAAATTAATTGAAAACTTATTTATTTTAATTATCTAAATAAAAATTATCATTTTTTTTTAAAAAAATGTATCTAATGTACCTTCATCACCGTCCATTGGTGTTATTACAATCTAAGAGTATCATTAACTACTGGAATCGTTTAAACCCTTTCACGAGGGAAGATTTCTTTATCGATGTTCGACGCATGCTCTTTTCAAACAAGCACTCCACCTTCTTATTGTAGTCCTTTAATAATTCATCAATTTACCAATTGAACGAAATTGACTAGTTTCAGAAAGTTTCACGTCTGTATACTATTATGTCCAAAATTACGTTTTTAAATAAATATAAATAATAATTCATTTTAATTTTTGATTAAAAATATTACCTAAACCTAAATAACTTATAATATCTTTTCTATAGATTATTGTTGGTTCAAAAACACGGACGGAGAATTTTGATCGTGACAACGACTTTTTTAATTAATTAAAATATATTTTATAAGATTATTATTTAGTATTTATTTTGTACATGAACACACTGAAAAAAAATTAATTTGATTCAAATAATCGGTTGCTTGACTATTATCAAATAAATATTTACTTGAACCAAATAATTTTTATTTGAATTAAATAAATTGTACTTGAACTAATAATTTTTGTATTTGAAATAAATACCATTTCATTGACTCAAATAATAATTATTTGATACAAATAAATATTTATTCGATAATGATCAAGTAACCGATTATTTGAATCAAATAAATTTTTTTTCAGTTCATAAAATTAGAATAAATTGACAATAATTTCCAAACAATTAAATTTATAAATATTCAAAACGTAATGCCACATTATTACCAATTATTGAAATTTTGCAACGGAATAATATCAAAACATAACCTCAATTAGGGATTTACTCTGTTCAAGAATTGTTGTGGATCAGTTAATTATAACAATTCTTGAACAGAATACATCCATGATTGAGGTTATGTTTTGATATTATTCCGGTGCAAAATTTCAGCAATTGGCAATACTGTGACTATACTATGTACACAGGCCAACACCACACTACATCGCGGATCGCTCCACATTTTTTTCGTCGAATAATGATACGAAAACAAAACAAAGTGACAGCTTCGGCAGCCATGTTTATTTTGACTATTATACATGGCTCATTTCATTTAAATTGTCATATTCGTGTCCCTTGCCAAAATAAAATATTTGATATAACCTTACTTGAAATTAATTTCTTTATATAGTAAAAAGCAATAATTTTCAATAATTTTTCTACTTACAAGGACATAAAAGTAATTTTCATAATATTGGCAGAACAAAAAGCAGGCAAAATGTCATAAGTGTAATGCGTCCCCGGAGACATTTTCAAAATGTTCAAATGAATGAAATGTCGAAAATATAGTGTTTAATCCAGATTAAAAAAATGTTTCTTGAAGTATTAGTTCTATATTTAAGGAAAATTAAGTGTTGGTAATTAAACTTTATTTTATACAATTTCCAGAAAATGAAAATCACGTGTCCCTCACTTTTGTATTTTTACGTTTTGCCGGCAGAATTTCCTACTTTTACCTGCTATTTAAATTACCTTATAAGCAAAAAAATTTCTTTCCCATCGCATAAGCAGCAGAACACAATAAGGAAGTGTGTGAAAAAAACGAAAACGATGTAAGTATAAATCTGCTCGTTTGTCATGGAGGCAGAAAAAGCCGAAACACTTTCGTAATTGAATTTCTGTCAACAGTGTAACGCCTTGAAAATGGTTAGAAAATTTTTTGAATTTTATATCGGTATGGAATTTAATGTATTTTTGGATTCTCTTTCGAATGAGACTAACCCCTTCGCAGTCCAGTTAAAAATCACTTATAGGCCTAATAAAGTTCCAAACAGAGCTTTCAAAAAAATTTGATTTCATCGTATTTAAGATTTTTGGGTTCATCTGTCATCAAATTCGAATTCAGCGACCACAAAAACTTCGGTATATTTATCACCAGTCAAGTGAAATTATATTTAGTATTATTATTTTATCAAAAATTGACAGAAAAAAATTTTTATAAGATATGACGATTTCTAACAAAAAAAAAACCGTCTGCCATAAGAAATATATGACTTTAATTTTGTGACCACTATTTATTTTGTTAATTTAACGTGTTAAACTGTATAAAAAATTAGTTTCAACCTTAAAATCAAAATTTTCCAACTCAACTTTTCTGGAAGCTGAATATGACAATTTAAATGAAATGAGCCACATATACTATAATTATGGTATAGTGGATACTGTCAGCAGTGGCGCTGTATACTAACATGTTAAATCTTTAACCGGTCGGTCACATAGAAAACTATAAAAAATTTAATTTCCAAATTTGCCAAAAATAAGTTTGGCATCGAGATTAGATCGAAAGTAATCGAATAACTCAAAAATCTTGAAAATATGACTTACAGTTTTCGAATTCTGGCCGGCGATATAAACGCCAATTTTTCTAACTGGCTCCCTAGACCTCGGAATAAGACGTTGTCACATCAAAAAATTCTTATATGAATCAATTAATCCTTGATCAATTTGACGATTCTTATAATTATAATATAAATTTATTTTTATTAAATTTGACACAGCTAAATTGCACGCCGTTAAACTATTCAAAAAATTATTTCATAATTGAAAATAAAATTTCTTAAACTCTACAAAATTAAATTGCACGCAATTAAACTCTGACAATCTAAATTTATAATAAAAAAATTTTTTTATTAAATTCTACACAGTTAAATTGCATACCGTTAAATTCTTCATTTTGTTAAACAAAAATTTTATTCATATAAAATATGTCAGGGAAGAGTTTAACGGTGTACAATTTAAATGTATAAAATTCAATAAAATTAATTTTTTATTACAAAATAATTTTGTGTAGATTTTAACGGTGTGGAATTTAACTATGTAGAATTTAATACAATTAATTATTTATTACAAAATAAATTTACGTAGAGTTTAACGATATGGAATTTAACTGTGTTGAACTTAACATAATTAATTTTTCATTATAAAATAAATTTGTATAGAGTTTAACATTATACAATTTAAAAAATAAATTGTGAAGAGTTTGACGGTGTATAATTTTACGTGTAGGGTTTTAACATTGTATTGTAATTATTTTTCCTTAAAAAAATTTTGTAAAATTTTTCAAATATATACTAATAAATACTATAACAAAGTTTTTGCAAAAAAAATTAGTTAAAATAATTAATTGCCGTAAATATATTTCATAATAATTTTATTAATTAATATTAATTATTTATTTATGTTACATATATTATATATTATATTTATATTATTTCTTCTGTAATAAATTATTTATATGATTTTATTCCTCATGTGTTGTGTGTATAAACAAATTATGCAGTCCTTATAAAAATGCACATTATATGTATATGGTTTAATTACTCTATGCTCCAATTTTTTGTTGCATTGTTAATAATACTGACAGAAAAGCCACTGATTTCTTAATTATCTGAAAAAAATTACTGCCCTCTGTAATTGTTAAATTATTTAATATTATTTTAATCCACTATTATTAAATTCAATACAAACCATTGCAAATGTCTCATAAGAGAATACCCAAAATTTTCCAGCTGTTATTTGTAAAGGAATTTCCGTTCTTAAAAATAGCATTATTAAATTTTTAGCTTCCAATGTCGATAAATTATACCATTTACTCCTATAAACACTAAATTGCAATTTTAATGCCTAAAAATTAAAATTAACTATATATAGCTATTTTTGAGATGAAAAATGTTTATATTCTCGATCAACAATATGTAAAATAATTATTTTATTATAACATTTTATTAATAAAACTTACTGCAATTTTCATCTTTTCTCCCAGATAGCATATAACATAGAGATTTGCTAAAATAGTAAAGACATAAGCCAGCCAGAAGAATATTTCATAGGGTGTAATACTTCTTGTTTGGTTGATAATCTAAAAATATAATAATTTATAACAATATAACAATTTAAGGCAATCCGATAAACAAGATTAGGAAATTAGGAAAATTTAATAACTTTAGAAATGTTGTATTAGGAAATTTTGATTAGAAATTCGTATTTTAGAAATTTCATTTTTAAGAAACTCTAAAATTAGAAAAATCGGTAGGGAACTTATTTATTTATTGGTGAACTTATTTAAATTGACTTAATTAATAAATAAATCACCAAAAAATAAATAAATATTGCATCAGTCATTAAAAATTAAATTAGACCGTAGAATTAAAAAAAAGGATCCTCTATCGTATGTTACTAACCATTACATGATAAAATTGCATTGATAATTGCAATGAATACATTATCATTTCCACAAGAAGCACTTGATTAAAAATATCCTCAATTACTGAAGCAAACCTTTAAAAACCCGTTTTTTAAGCTTCAATAAAAATAAAAAAAAAAGTTAATTCTCTGTAGGCACACTTGTTCAAAAAAACGTTCAGAAGATGTCTTTTTGTGGACGTCCTTTGGATATTAGTAAAAGACGTCTTTTTGACAAACAGACAATTATTCATAAAATGAAATTAAGGCCAGGTCCAAGTGAGGCAGCGTCATCTACATTGAAACTAAAATTTTGGAAAATTTTCAACAGCCTTTTCTTGAAAACAAGATGGTAAAATGCTTTTTCCTTTATGGATAATTGATTATTGGCAAGATATACACCAGCTAAAACTTTTTTTGAGTTAAAATAATAAAAAAAATTTCATGTCAATAAATTAAATATGAGCACTTTTTTCACAAAAACTGTAACAGTACTTTCTCAGAAATTACAATCAAAAATTCAATTTCCATTTGGAAAATTAATAAACGCTAAAAAATACACGACCTAAGATTTGCCAATCACGAAAATAACAAAAAAAAGTATTTTAACATAACATATTTTACTCATTATGACAGCCGTTTGGCAGGTTATATATGTCACCAGACGTTTCGCAGTTTTGCCGAAAGGAGGAGATTGGCGCTGTTGCTAACCACCTGAAATACATAATCTACCAAAGGGCTGTCACAATCAGTAAAGCAGTATCAATATGTTAAATATTTAATAAAATTTTTTTTTCTTATTTTCGTGATTGGTAAATCTTAGGTCGTGTATTTTTTAGCGTTTATTAATTTTCCAAATGGAAATTGCATTTTTGATTGTAATTTCTGAGAAAGTACTGTTACAGTTTTTGTGAAAAAAGTGCTCATATTTAATTTATTGACATGAAATTTTTTTTATTATTTTAACTCAAAAAAAGTTTTAGCTGGTGTATATCTTGCCAATAATCAATTATCCATAAAGAAAAAAGCATTTTACCATCTTGTTTTCAAGAAAAGGCTGTTGAAAATTTTCCAAAATTTTAGTATCAATGTAGATGGCGCTGCCTCACTTGGACCTGGCCTTAACGAACGTTTATAAATAATAGGGGAGCGTGAAACATCCTTCAACAAGCCACTTCAATCTATTAAATTTCAAAACTTATTTCATATTTTTATTGTTGATTAAATTGTTGCTATAGTTATTGAATATTTATTAAAACAATGTCATAAAAAAAATTTCATAATTCATTAAAATTAATTTTAATTTTTTTTTAAACCATTAAAATTATAGAAAATTGATGTGTAAAACTGTGTAGTTTATCAAATTATAATGGATTATTAATAACATGTGTAAAATAATGACAAACGTCTGACAAAAAAATGTGTTATGTACTCCTCTTTTATGAATTAAACAAATTTCACGAATGAAATTAAAAACGTTGATAAAAAATCATTCAATAAAGTCTGCGGACAAAAAAGACATCTTTTAAACATTGCTGTGCCCACAAGGAACTACTATAATGTATATATTTACTTATTTACCTATTAAGATGTTCATGTTCTATGACAATTATTTTTAATTTCAATAAAAAATCATTCGGACTATGAAAATTATTTGAATTAATTAGCGATTCAAGATTATGCTCTAAAATTGAAAATTGGCTATGTACATGTAAAATGAGCATGGCACAAAAACTTATAAGTCCACTATAGAGACATGAGGAGAAACAAACTCCACAACATTGAAAAAAACATGTTAATTCATATGCAGGACTTTTTAAAACGTCATATGGAAAATATGCGAGATAAAATAATTCTCTATTTTCTTTTTGACGTCGACAATTTATAATTAATTGTCCAAGTAATTGTAATGCAGTTGCTGACATTGTCACAGTAAAACAATACAAAGTAATAATTTTTGCAATATGTGCATCATTTCTCATCAATCTCCATTCAAATTCATTTTTAGCACGATTCCAATCTTCATAAATGGAAGCTATTAAATTTTCCAAATCTAAATGAAAAAAAAACAATTTTTTTAATTTTTAACAATTTTTTGCTTAACATATGAAATAATTTGTAAAAAAAATACCTTTTCTTCTATTACAAATTACAATTAATTTTATGAATACCATTATTATTGGAAAATTAGCTAATGTCAAACTTTCATTTATTAATTCAAAATTGGGCCAAATTTCAAAAAGAAATGCAGTTTGTGGTATTATATTAAAAAAAATCATATTAATTCCAGTTAATATTGATAAAAATTTCGATAAACGTTCATATTTATCGTTAGGTTCTGGCCATGCACCGACTATTCTCAAATTCACTCGATTCCACCAAACTATAAAAGCCTCATTAACAACTGGAAAATTATAAAGAAACATGTATAAATATTTTATCAATTATTTATTTTTACTATTTTTGTGAATAATTTTGAATAAAATTTTACTACAAAATTTCTATTATAATTTATTACAGAAGTACTGACTGAGTCAATTAATTTATTATTTATAATAATAATAGTAATAATAAGATATTTTATAAAATATTACCCGGTATTTTAGACATTTTATAATTGTTTTTAAAGATATGATTACAGAAAGTAGAAGTTAAAAGAAATGTGTCTTTTACCATAGAAGAAATTGCGCAGGCTTACTTGGATAAAACTTTACACATAACTTATGAAAAATTCAATCGTCTCAAAGAACTTTCAATGTATGTACAGTAAAAAAACCCTTAATTTGCATATTAAATGATTTTAACTCATTCCCATCAAGACCAATATTGTTCAGTCTTCATTGTCTCTTTGAGGGAGAAACAATAAGATATTCTACAATAAAATTATATTTATTTTAATATTAATTGCGACATTAAAATTTTTTGATTCTTATTTACAAAATAAAAATTTTAATTTATTCTTAAAATTTTAGTGATTTGATTTCTGTGTGAAAATTGAAACTAGACGATAGCCGTACTACGGTCGGAGAACCCGAATAAAAATTAAGCACTAGACATTCAATATAGGAGGGGAGTATCAAAGTAACTTACTAGAACCCTAATAATATTTTTAGGGCTCTACTAAAATGTCTTTATTTCTTAAGCTCGAGCTTAAACTTCTGTTTTAAATATATTTTTGTTCTGGAATTTTACCTGTACGTACCAGCAACTTCTTCGTGTTTTTCATTAAAATTGGTAGGTACATATTTTTTATATTATATTAATTTTTAAAAATTCTACCTTGTCATTTTATATTTTGAAAATTTGATATCATTTTCCTTCCCAATGACCTTAAAAGCTTCCAAGTAATGAAGTTGAAATTTATTTGATTTATTAAAAAAATTCTTCAATATTTAATACTTCATTTAAAGTTTTTAAAATTATATTTTAGAATTAAAATCATCAACGCAAAAAAGTACTTTATCAATCCATCAAAGTAATTACTTTCTTGTTATATTCCCAGGATTCATTTCCAAAAAAAAATGTAACTAACAATATAAATAGGATAATATCTTGTATACTTCATTGTGAAGCATCCTTCAACAAGTCATTCCAATCTATTAAATTTAAAAATTTATTTCATATTTTCATTGCTGAGGAAATTTTTCCCACAGTTATTAAATCTAATATTAATTAAAACAACCTCATAAAAGCTTTTGTAAAATTATTTTAAAATTTTTTGAAATTAATTTTACTTTTTCTTAAACCATTAAAATTATCGAGGGGGAAACAACTAAAAAATTTGGTGTCTTCATATTACATCAAAATAATTCATGATAATAATACTTTAGATAATTCAGGGTAATTCATATGATTGTTTACTTTTTTGTCTGCGTATTAAAATATTTAAATTTTGAATGTGTAATAATATTATTATTAAATAATTATTACTTGATAAAATATTTTGCATGGAAATTTAATTTTATTATAGTTTTATTTGGTGTTAAAAATGATTTTTTATTTTGAGGTTCTGTCATAAAATAATGGCAAGACCGAGTTGCTCTAAGGAATGCCATACTTGTGGACAAACTGGCAAGGACCTTTCCACTGCCTTGATATGTATAGTTTTCTAGGTTATATTGCAAACATGGCATAACCAAGTAACTGTCGTTTAATCTGGAGTCAGCACTGTAAAAAAAGTCAGTGTTATTTTACATCGTATTACGATGGAAATTTTGTGCACACGTTAAACCTGTGGATTGACATGCAGCGTGTAATCTAACACAACCTATATGTTTTTTCACATCCCTCAAATATAACCATCAGAATACCATCTGTCGAATTACACACTGCATGTTTTTCAAGGTGAATATATATTTTTGGAAAAACATGCAGCATGTAATTCAACTTATGCATGTAATATAAACCTGCAAATGTATTTATAGCATTTGCTTGTAATTTTTTTTTCTCTTTTTTCTTAACAATAATTATATTATAATTAAAGGAAACAAAATCTGATAAATCGATCGAATATTTTTTTCTTTTGAACTAAATTATTATTTAAAATGTTTTTAAATATTGAAATTCGTAATTCTCGCAACTTTTCTTTAAAAATTTTCATACAGAACTTTTTTTATAAAAATATTACAATACAATATAATTAAACATTTAAAGCTAAACTTAATAGTCTCTGCAGTACTTTTGTGTTTGAGTCTGGCAAAACAAAATCAGAAAAACCACTTGAAAAACAAACGAACGCCAGAGATAACATACTTAGTGTGAATGGCCGAAGTGAATATGAATATGAAAAACCTTAATTACATGGCCAAGGGAGAATAACACGCCACATGGAATAAACATGCAGTGTGTAATTCAACTAATGGTTTGCCGATGTTTATATTTGAAAATGTGAAAAAACATATAGGTTGTGTTAGATTACACGCTGCATATAAATTCCCTTAACACGCTACATGTAAATCCACAGGTTTAACGTGTGCACAAAATTTCCATCGTAATACGATGTAAAATAACACTGACTTTTTTTACAGTGAGGGATAAAATTGACCCCCCCTCTATCTTACCCAAAGTTTCAAAAAAAAGTCAAAAATGTTTTTGGGGATATTTTACTATCAGGTAGGACAACAATTTCCCCAAGTTTCACTTTTTTTCGAGAAATAAATTTTTTTAACTCAGTACATTACACAGAAAATGCCTCATATTCATATGGATAAAATAAATAAGAAAAAAAAAGAAAATTACTTTCAGTTACTTAGCATAAAACAAAAATGTTTTAGAAAAAATAGGAAAGTAATATTGTTGAATATTCTTTTGAAATCAAGTCAAAAGATCTGTATGTTGATAAAATGCAAAATAGAAAGGAAAATAATTACAGTAAATTAGTGTAAAAATATGATTCAGAAAGAATAAAAAACATTCCTTATAATTTTTCGAGTTAGTCTGAATTTGGTCTTTTAGTTGTTGATGTTGTTTTTTCACTGAAACATATAAGTTTCCATTACAATAAAAATTTTCAAAAAATTATTATCATGTACATCACAACAATGATTGCTAAAATACTAATTTATCTCTTACTTCATAACGAATTGTGTTATGGTATCAATTGGTTGCAACATTTGACAAATTATATCCAAAAAGATGCCAAAGTTAATCAAGTGATTATCCTAAGTGACAATAATAAAACCAATGAACTTTCCATTCATGACGATTTGTTTGAAATAACATCTCGATTTCCAAATATAATTATCAATTTACAATTGGTAGCAGATGATTTGTTTTCAAAATTGATTATCAACGATCCTCAAGAAGTACTTTTTATTATAATTGCTGATGGTAAAAATTTTACTTCACTCAAAAAACCATTCAGCCTTGTAAATAATCTAAATACAAATCGATCTCGTCCAAAAATTCTAATAATTTTCTCGTCACAAACAACTTTGATAAATTACGACAGCTTACTTCGTGAAATGTGGTCTCATGACTTTTTGGATGCTACAATAGTTTCAACGTACACTCGACAGAGAAATTTAAAACTCGCTAAAGAATCTCAACGAATTCGTCTTTATTATCACAATCCACATACGAATTCTACATGGTCAAAAAAATTTTCATTAAAAGTTAAATGGTTTCCTGATAAAACTCAAAATCTTCACAGCTACAATCTGACAGCAATTGTTACTGTTTATCATCCTGAAATTTTTGTAACAATAAATCAAACAGGTCATCGAGAATTTTCAGGATTGGGATGGACAAAATTTAAAACTTTATCAGAATTAATGAATTTTCGACTAGTAACTAAATATTATGACAATTGGGGCTATTTGAATTGTGAAAATAAATACAAAAGCTCTGGTGCATATCACAGCTTGATAAGTAAAGAATCGGATTTTACTTCAATAGAGGTTCAGAGATTGTCAAGTTGTGGTGACAAGATATTTGAATGGAGTATAGGAATTACAAAACCCGATGTATGTCTAGTTGTACCTATTTTCAAAAAAGAGTTCTATATATTGAGCGATTATTGGAAAATTTTGAATTTATTTGGCGTTATCAGCTTACCAATAGTGATTTGGATGTGGTTGCGAATCGCACATATTGAAACTGAGGATCTAAAGATAACATATTTGATTCAAATCATTCTAGGATCGTCAATACCGCGTGAACCGCATAAGTTACCAGAAAAAACTATTTTCATTTTCCTGATAGTCACATGCACTTTATATTCTTCAATGATTTATACAGCGTTTACTGATGTTGGTTTACAGAGGAAAACAATCTATTCCTTAGAAACACTCGACGATGTATTATCATCAGATCTAGACACTGAAATACATATTAATTTTATTAATGTATTGAGAAAGGTTAGCTCACCCAGTATAATGAATTTATTACATAAAGCTATAAAAGTTCATAGACCATATGCAAAATGTTTACAACAATTAGTAAAGAAGAAAAATATTGTCTGTTTAGCACCTTCGTTTCATGCTAAATTTTTATTAGGAAATATCAATGACAAGTGTCATGTTCCTAAAGTAAAAATTTTGGAGAATGATTATCTTTATCGAGGTATAAGTCAAACAGTGTTGGCTCCAAGATCTCCTTATGTCAACAGAATTAACACTGTACTACAAAGATTGATTCAGTCTGGCATTACTAAAAAATGGAAATCTCCCTACGAGAAGACATTAGGCAAAAGTGACGAAGAAAATTTTCGCTGTTTTGATAAAAGCAAAGAATCACAACAAATATTGAGACAAATGTTTATCATTCTTCTTGTTGGCTATTCATTTTCAATTTTAATGTTTTTTGCTGAAATTTTTGTTCTCTATAGATTGAAATTTAAAGCAAGTCATTTCAAAATCGCTAAGCTTGTACGTGGAAAGTAAAAGTTTTTTATGGACTGACTCACAATAAAATTGTGAATATGTTTTGGATAATTTTTGTTTTAATATAAAGTCTAACAAAAAAATAAATTTTTTCAGTTTTCAGTGTCACGTTTCAGAAATTACTCAAAAATGTTGCATCTTAAATAATTCTGGACAAATGTTTATGCTATTCACGATTTTATATATAAAAATAACAAGTATTTTGTATTTTAAAATTAAGATCTTAAATCACTTTATTCGTGACTATATACATATCATGGATTATGACGACTCATTTCCATTATATCATTAAATCTATAAATACAAAAAAATAAGCATTGAAAGTAATTTTAAAATTTATTTACGTTGATAACCAGGAAGTGGAGTAATAGTAATTTCTTTGATCTGAAAAAGATAATTTATTATTGTTCAAAAAATTATGATTTTTAATTGTTATTATTATTATGTAATTCATAATTACAATTTATAATTACAAAAAGAAAAATAACTTAAAAACAATTGTAGCAATTAAATAATTTGTTTTACCTGAACATGTGGAGGTGTGGATAAAGCATAAATAATGCCATCGCAAATATCTTCAGCATCAACGTAAGGCATAATTTGCAGTGCTGCTTCTGGTGCCATTTCCGTTTTTACCAAGCCAGGGAAAATAGTCTTACCAAAAAAAAATTAACAATTAATATTTTAACTAATTCACATTATAATTAAAATTTGTTTATAAAATTGCAAAAATATTTTTATTGTAAATTTTTTACAATAAACTTACAGTGACTTTTGTGGGACTTTTCACGTGTTGAAGTTCTAATTCAACGACTTGACTCAAGGCCTTGAAGGCAAATTTACTCGGACTGTACATAGCTCCTGATGTATTTTCATAGAATCCAACATTTTGTCCCATAACACTAAAATATAATAAAATTTTCTTTTATTTGATGTAAAAAATCAATTTTCTACAATTTTTTATTTACCGTACTAAAAATGATTTATTTAATCAAATAATTATTAAATAACAAATAATAATTAATTAACGAATAATTATTAAATTATTTATATATTTTATTGGATTAAATATTCACTACACTTGAATAAGACTTAATAATTGTTTTATTAATTACAATTATAAAATTGTGTATGTGTGTCAGTGTTGTGAAGAATTTGTAATATTAACAATAAATATTACCTGTTAATATTAATAATATGACCGGCTGTGTTATTTGCTCTCATAATTCTCACAGCTTCCCTTATGAAAATAGTAGGACCAATTAAATTAACATCCATAACTTTTGTCAAATTTTCCGTTGAATTTTCTGAAAATAGTAATTTTACTTGCATGAAAATTATTCATTTTCTTATTTATTTCATTACCAACTTTATCATGTCAGTGAAGTTCACAATCAACAATTTAAAGACAAAAAAATTTTTCTATGCAAATTTTTATAATTTTTTTTTTTTTTTAAAGTAACGTTTCTCAATTAACAATTTTTAAATGAAAATAATTCGTATAGACAAAAAATTTTATTATATTTTTCATTTATTTAATCGTTGATCATAAACTTTGTAATCATTCATATTTTAATATTTGTTACTTATACAAAAAATTTTCCTTTTTATGCTTGTGAAGAAACTAACATTTATTTATTTAAAAAAAAAATTCAAAGGTTTTTTATTTTTAATAAATATTACAATTTTTAATTTAAAAAATTTTAAGAAAAAAATTATTATTTTTAATTTTTAAGCAAATCAAATTTTACTATTTACCAATGCATAAATCTGGAAACATTATGCCAGCATTATTAATGAGAATATCGACAGATTTAAAATTTTTTTCAATCCACTGAAAAACTTTAAGAATATCATCCTCCTTGGTGACATCACATTTTATTGGATAGAAAGCACCTTTTTCGTTTTTTAAATGATTTTTAATTTTTTCCATTTTATCAACTCTTCTTGCCAATCCCACAACGTTGACATTTTTTTTCACCAAATCTTTAACTAGAGCTTCACCAATTCCTGAACTGACACCAGTTATTACTGCAACTTTATTAATCCAACGATCCATCTTGTTTGATAGTTAACTGCAGACTGGAAAATACGCTGTCTGTAACAGGTCTTTATACACCTAGTTGCAATTAAATAGTTCTAAAAATGCAACAGTGTTTCATAATACTGCAATCCTGTAACGTCATCGTTAACACTTCTATATCTCACAATGACTTACATTTTTTGAACAGTAGAAATACGAAATCACAACTTTTATATGTAAAAATTTATTGATAATGAAAAGATTATTTTTTCTATGATGCCTATGCTAAAGATTACACTGAAAACCAAATAATTTTTATTTGAATTAAATAAACTTTATTTGAACCATTAATTTTGTATTTAAAACCAATAAAATTTAATCATCACAAATAAAAATTATTTGATTCAAATAAATATTTATTTGATAATAATCAATTAATCGATTATTAGGGGAGACCGGGGTTACTTAGCGGAAGAGTGAAATTAATTAAAAATATTATTTAAAGTTTAAACAATATAAAACTTAACGAAATAAGTCTTGTACTGTAATTTTACAATAAAATTATTTAAAAAAAGATGTAAATTCAGATGTTCATTATATGAACATTTTGCTTCCTCTTTACGATCAGCAAAAAAATTTTGCTTTCTCGTGGAGAAAGCATTAACATTGAAATATACATACAAAAATAATATAATAATATAAACATTTGAGTATACAATTGAGTTAAATTTAAAAAATTAATAGAAGTTAAAAAATCAAAAATTCATATTTTAACCGAAATTTCTAAATATTAATGAAAAATAATATATAATTTATAATTATTTACAATTATATCGATTCGTTTTAATGCAAGGAACACAATTATTTTTTATATTTAAACTAGAATTTAAATAAATATAAAAATTTTCAGCTAAAATGTGTATTTTTTAACATTCATTAATTTATTAAATTTACCTCAAATGTAAATTTTATATATACCAATCTATTCGTTTTCATTTAAGGAATAAAATTATTTCATCTATAAACTTAAATTTAAATAATCACAAAATTTTATAGCCAAAATGTGAATTTTTGATTTTTTAATATTCATTAATTCTTTAAATTTAAATTAAAACTATACTTTATATATAACAATCGATTTGTCTTGACGTAAGGAATACAATTTTATTATATATTACCTTAAATTTTTCTATTTAAAAATTTTTTCGATTAAAAAAAAAATTTTGAAAAAAAGACGATAAAAATTTTTTTTTTTGTATTTTTTAAAATCCTTTGGTCAGATTTGAGATATTAATATGATAAATGAGCCTACCAAATTTTATCTAAATCCATTAAAACCTGTTAAAGTTATCGTCAAAACAAAAAAGGGACCCACACACACACACACACATACATCCGGACAATTGATCAGGATCTCATATAACATGTTTCTATATAAAAAAAATTTGTTTCCGCCACTTTGAAAATTTTTATAAACGAAAGGACTACAAAGCTTCCTCCACGAAGAAGCAAAACGATAAGAGGTGAGGCATTTCATATGAGAATACGTTGTCATGTCTCGGATTTTTCTTAAAATTCAGTAAATTTTAATGATAGTGGTGCTAAATAAGTGTACAAATTTTGAATTTGAAATTATTAATATTTTTCGAGATATTTACAATAACAAATTAGAGCAATATTTGCATATTTTGCGTAAAAAACATTCTCAACATTTTTCTCTATTATTAGTAAGGAAAAACTTATAAGCAAAACAAAAATAATATAATATCATAAAATGCTATCAAATTTTATTAATATTGAATTCCCAAAATGATCGACTTTAACAATTATTATTGCTTTCACTTCCATATATTCCATTTTCTCCATTTCCTTTTCTTCCTTGGATATTCGAAACAATATGTCCTCCAATTTGGTTTTTATTTCCTCCAACATTTCCATTGTCAACATTGTTACTACTTCCTCCTTTGTTTATATAGTTTATGTTGTTTCCATTTCCCACATTGTTTCCACTTCCTCCATTGCTTCCATTTCCTCCAGTGTTTCCACCTACATTGAAATAAAATAAGATCATAAGTAACACCAAGAATATTGAATATTGATTTCGAAATGAATTCTGACGTTTGCGTTCGTTTTCAAAAAAAACACTATATCAAGAAAATCAAGATAGCCGTAAGACAGGGAAAATTTTTGTTGTCAAGGAAACTTGATAAATTGAACATTTATATTTACAGAAAAAGGCAATATACTTTTTGAAAACGTAAAATTTTTTAACAATTTTTGATTCTAAAAGGAATAATACTTTATCATCTATTCACCTTTTTTTAATCATTAAAATTTTGTCACCTATTTTGATAATTTCTTAATTTTTTCACCTTTCTCAGGCTTTGGTTAATTCACGGATGCAATATTTAAAAAATAATAAAATGTACAATTTAAGAACATTGTTTTAAGCTCAGGAATGTTAAAAAAATGTTAATATTCCTTGACATTCCTTAAAAATATAATTATTACTTTGGAGAGCAGAAAATTGACAGATTTTTTTGTTTTCTATAAATGATTCAATTCACCAATGCTTGCATTATTCAAAATTTTTCATTAATTTATAAATTATTTAAACCAAATTTCAATAAATCTATATTTAAATTAGTTAAGGCATTTATTGCTATTAACATTGTAATCGATCAGCTATCAATTCAATCAATCCAAAATCCAATTTACACAAATTTAAATCTCTTCAAATTTTTAGGACACATTTCAATTTAATTAAATCTTAATCAATTCAAAATTTAATAGATCCAAACTAAAATTCATTGTAAAATTTAATTAAAATTTCAAATGATTCAACTTTGCATCAATTATAATTTATATTGTTCAAAGCAAATTTTTCTGATAAAATACTTAAGTAAATAATTATAAACGATATAAGTTTCAAATTTTTCGAATTTTAATTAATCTCAGATATTGACAAAATAAAATTGTTGTCTGTAAATAACGGAAATTTAATCGGGTTAAAATATTTTAGTTTGAGTTGAAATGTTGAATAGAGTCTTTTTTTAAACGTACAAAAAAATTGCAATTCGAATAAAATTGTAAAGAAAATATATCTAGGGAAAAAATGTTTGATCATCAAATATGATGATTTGAAATTTTAATGAAGGTTTTGAGGAAAATGGTACATGTGATATTTAAAAAAAATGATTACCTTCACTCTCCGTTTCGCATCCAATGCAACATAGTCTTGAGGTACACCCGTTTCTGCGACTACCTAATTAAAGAACAATTAATTTTTAATATCGAAATAATAAAATTTTTCTTTATAATCAAATTGTAATATTCAAACAAAATAATCATTTCATAAATTAAATCTGAATTTGTTAATTCTGTAAATTGATTTTGTCTTCATCATATATATTATATAAAATATAAGAAAAAATAAAATTATGATCATTTTCTAGAGTGTGTTTTACACTATAGGAAAACATTGTATTACACATGTAAATTACCTGGACGAGCAAAAGAGTGAGCAACAAGTAGAAGGGTGAAGAAAAGCACAAAACATTTAACAGATGCCATGATCAAAAATCACAATTTTTCCAAAAAAGAGTTGCTGTTTTACTTTTCTAAAAATGGGCAATTGTCGTCTTAAAGAGCCAAAAGACACTGAAGTTCTCAGTTCTTTCAAGACCTTTATATATTCGTTTTGTCATCGATTGCGTCCTCTAAGGGGAAGTTGCATACCCCCACTCTACCTGCCGGGCCCTAAACACGGTGGCAGTGTGGGCGATCATCGATTGCGTCCTGTAAGGGGAAGTTGCATACCCCCACTCTACGTGCCGGGCCGGGCCACAAACACGGAGCTCGAGGGACGCATGCACCGCGGGGGGCCTGAGCGACGTTCTCGGGCCTAATGACATTTTCTATTTATGGCCCTTAATGAGTTTTTCCAAAAAAATAAAAAATTTTTAAATATTAACAATTTTTAATTTTTTTTAACATATTCTTATTCCTCGTAATTTCACGATTACGAGCATATGTTGTTCGAATTAAAAATGTTAATATTTATAATGTTTATAATTTTTATTGAATTTTCTTAAGAGTACATTTAGTTCAGATTCATAACCGGCAAAACCCAAAGAACAGGCAATTCGCGAATTTCATGGTCTTCGGATTTTGCCGGTAAAAATATCGGCTTGCAAGTCAAGTATTTATCAAAAACCGATACAATATACACTGAGAAAAAAGGTTTGAGCTGACAACCAAATATTTCATTCAATATATGTGCAACTAAAATTTTTTGGTTGACACAACTAAACTTTAGTTGACAACAACCAAAGTTTGTTTCAAACGACTAAATAAGAAAATGAAAAAGAATTTGGTAGTCTCAACCAAACTTTGGTTGTTGTCAACTAAAGTTTAGTTGTGTCAACCAAAAAATTTTAGTTGCACATATATTGAATGAAATATTTGGTTGTCAGCTCAAACCTTTTTTCTCAGTGTATATTGTATCGGTTTTTGATAAATACTTGACTTGCAAGCCGATATTTTTACCGGCAAAATCCGAAGACCATGAAATTCGCGAATTGCCTGTTCTTTGGGTTTTGCCGGTTATGAATCTGAACTAAATGTACTCTTAAGAAAATTCAATAAAAATTATAAACATTATAAATATTAACATTTTTAATTCGAACAACATATGCTCGTAATCGTGAAATTACGAGGAATAAGAATATGTTAAAAAAAATTAAAAATTGTTAATATTTAAAATTTTTTATTTTTTTGGAAAAACTCATTAAGGGTCATAAATAGAAAATGTCATTAGGCCCGAGAACGTCGCTCAGGCCCCCCGCGGTGCATGCGTCCCTCGAGCTCCGTGTTTATGGCCCGGCCCGGCACGTAGAGTGGGGGTATGCAACTTCCCCTTACAGGACGCAATAGATGATCGCCCCCGTGTTTATGGCCCGGCCGGTAGAGTGGGGGTATAGTGCTTCCCCTCAGGGGGCTAACTTGGACATCGCCCGTTCTCGGGCCTAATGAAATTTTCTATTTATGGCCCCTAATGAGTTTTTCATGAAAATTATAAAATTTTTTAATATTAACAATTTTTAATTTTTTTTAACATATTCACATTCCTCATAATTTCACGATTACGAGCATATGTTGTCCCAATTAAAAATGTTAATATTTAAAATGTTTATAATTTTTATTGAATTATGTCGCTTGAATCCCCCAGTATCGATCTAGTCATGATACCGAATAAATTTTTTAATAAAAATTAAATCTTTTCAAATATCAACATTTTTACCCCTCATTTTTTTGCGATTCAGACATATTTTTTTTTTTAAATGTTGAAATTTAAAAAGTTTTAATTTTTTTTTAATCACAATTTTTCCAGGCTTAGGACTTTTTAAATTTCAACATTTAAAAAAAAAATTATGTCTGAATCGCAAAAAAATGAGAGGTAAAAATGTTGATATTTGAAAAGATTTAATTTTTATTAAAAAATTTATTCGGTATCATGACTAGATCGATACTGGGGGATTCAAGCGACATAATTCAATAAAAATTATAAACATTTTAAATATTAACATTTTTAATTGGGACAACATATGCTCGTAATCGTGAAATTATGAGGAATGTGAATATGTTAAAAAAAATTAAAAATTGTTAATATTAAAAAATTTTATAATTTTCATGAAAAACTCATTAGGGGCCATAAATAGAAAATTTCATTAGGCCCGAGAACACTGCTTAGGCCCCCCGCGGTGCATGCGTCCCTCGAGCTCCGTGTTTATGGCCCGGCCGGTAGAGTGGGGGTATAGTGCTTCCCCTCACGGGGCTAACTTGGACATCGCCCCTTTTCGACTCCCCTCTTCCATCATGTTGCAGATTTTGCATACATTAGCGCCATTTGTTCTATTGAATGTTGCAAATTCTTGACCCCCCCCCTCCCCTTCAAGCGCAACGTAATTTATGAATGGCCCCTTACGTGCTTACTCTCAATTATTCCTCTCTGTTTCTATCAAATAGGGAAATTTATCATTATGTCAATTATAATTTCTTCGAAAGTCAATATTAATTTCAAAATATTGACAAACTTTAAAAACAATTCTAATTATTGAAATATATATGATAAATTTTTCTATTTATGTTGTGTTTAGAGTTTCGTTTATTTGAAAAGTAACTGCTGTTTAAGCTGAATAATAATTAAATTTCAATTTTTTTTTTTTGAAAATAGTTTATTGTGAGTATAATCTGACGTGGAATTCATTGCTAAAAGCGAATATCATTAGATTTTGGAAATTTATTAAGTTTTCATGAACATATTTACGTTTTTTTGAAAAGTGTATTGGTGGGGTGAGGTGGCGAGTTAAAAATTAAACATTCTATGCATATTTTTTTAAATTTTATTATTGCCCTACTTTATTATTTCCTAAATAATTTTTTTAACTGCGATATACTGGCATTACTCTTCTTGGGCATTGCTGAGGTAAAATACATCTGTTGGACTCAAGGTCCATTATATATCCATTTATGCATTCACAGGTAGGACGACATGACTGTAAATAAAATCAAATGTAAGGTTTAAACATAATTTTCAAAAAAAAAAATAAATAAATCCATTAAAGTACAATGTATTTTAGTATTGCTAGAAATAATTGAAATTGAATTTATTTATTTATTGAAATATATCCCCGTAGTCCAAAAGAGGACTGAAATTTGAAAAATGGAAATTTAATTATATTTAATTACTGTTCAATAATGATTGTTTTTATATTTAAAGAATTTACCATGACACTCGGACAGGGCCGATTATCATTTATATTGAGACATGTTTTGCGACAAGCACTTGAAGATCCACACTGTGTAAAAATTTCCTTGGGTCCACATTGAAATTGATTAAATAGCTGTTGGGGTGCTGTAATTAAAATTAAATTTCATTTTAAATATCTATACAGCCACACAAAAAAAAAGTTTTGATCTGGGGGTCTGCACAGAAAAAACCTTGTCTCATTTTTGATGCAAATCAAAATGAGCCAATGCTAAACGACATAGACAGTGGCGCCACCAACCTGGTTCATTTTTGTTGCACATCAAAATGAGCCGCCTACACGCATCATTCTGAGTTCAGTTTTTTTCTGTGTGTCTATCACGGTTGGCCTGAACTAAATTTTATTCAAACTTTCAGTAACTCTAAATTTTTTTGTTGATTCTGAATTTATATTTTTTTAGCATTATTTTAAGACAAAAAAGAAAAAATTCGGCGGAGGGCTTTTTGAAATATACCATTTTAAAAAAAAAAATTTTTTACTAAAAACTAAGTTACAGATTTATTTGAGTTGACTCGTTTTGTTTGTATTTTTTTTAAGCAGTCTAATAAATGTTAAGGTATTTAAAGGATAAGTAGGATTTCATAGCTGCAAAAGGTTTTTAATTTGACAAACAATGTACCGTTGACAAAAAATATTTTATCGAACTAAATATTTGAAATATAATTTGTAATAAATCTGTAATAAAAATTACAATATTTTTTATACACATTTTAAAGATTTATAAATGAAGTTAAATTTTAAAAATGTTTATGCAAAATATATAAACATGTAGCTTTAGATGTGCGAACTATTATACTGACACACTGCACATCTGAAGCTACATGTTTATATATTTTGCATAAACATTTTTAAAATTTAACTTCATTTATAAATCGTTAAAATGTGTATAAAAAATATTGTAATTTTTATTACAGATTTATTACAAATTATATTTCAAATATTTAGTTCGATAAAATATTTTTTTGTCAACGGTACATTGTTTGCCAAATTAAAAACCTTTTGCAGATATGAAATCCTACTTATCCTTTAAATACCTTAACATTTATTAGACTGCTTAAAAAAAATACAAACAAAACGAGTCAACTCAAATAAATCTGTAACTTAGTTTTTAGTAAAAAAATTTTTTTTTTTAAAATGGTATATTTCAAAAAGCCCTCCGCCGATTTTTTCTTTTTTGTCTTAAAATAATGCTAAAAAAATATAAATTCAGAATCAACAAAAAAATTTAGAGTTACTGAAAGTTTGAATAAAATTTAGTTCAGGCCAACCGTGCTATACCTACTTTATGTTTTTTGGGTCGCTGAATCCGAATTCGAGGTTCGTTTTACCCCATCAGATCAGGATTTTGAGATAACCTCAAAAAACCAATATGGCGGACACTTTTTCGAAAAATTCATCGGAATCGCCTGAAACTCGTTACTCGGGTGTCAGTTTTCAAAAATTCAAGATGGCATCTTAACAAATTCCTTAAATGTATCTGCCATGGACATCAGATTCGTTATCAGCGACCCCAAAAACCCCCGAATAAAGAGTTTCAGGCGATTCCGATGAATTTTTCGAAAAAGTGTCCGCCATATTGGTTTTTTGAGGTTATCTCAAAATCCTGATCTGATGGGGTAAAACGGACCTCGAATTCAGATTCAGCGACCCAAAAAACATAAAGTAGGCATAGTCAGACCCTCAGATCAAAATATTTTTTTTTTGTGTGGCTGTGTAATTATTTATATTTATTATGTTTTTTACTTATATTTTGTAATTTACCTGTTCTTGGGCATTGATGAGGTAAAACACATCTGTTGAACTTAAGGTCCCTTACATATCCTGCTTTGCATTCACAGCCAGGATGACACATCTGTAAATAAAATCAAATGTAAGGTTTAAACATAATTTTCAAAAAAAAAATAAATAAATAAATCCATTAAAGTACAA